CCCCCCCCCCCCGCCCGCCGCACGCTCTCTCTAAAATAAATACATCTTTTTAAAAAACCATTTTGTTTTTGACAAACATGAAAACTCAACATTTTTACTTTGAAAATGTTTTAATAGAAGTTTTGCTTTTTAAAATGTTTATGTGGTTAAAAAAGTAAAAAGAATAGATATTTATGAGTAATCTTGAAATTTTATGTATAATTTTCAATATCATTTAACAGAAAGTGCTCATTAAGGAGAATTTACAAAAATACTCCCTTTTCTCCTAAGTGATTAAAAAACTGCACAGCTATAATAATTTAGGAAATACTACTACTAAGAAGAAGAAAGCAGCAGGTTTAGTTTGAAACCAAATGTTGCAATCGTTGACTGCACTCGTTACAAACATGTTTTCCTCTAATAAAGCATCAAGCATTTCCCACTACCTCTTTCTTTTTGAGCTTAGACACTGCACAAGTTTCCCGGAAACCCCACTCTTTTATTTCTGAGTAGTCCTTTATCTTTCCCATGAGAAGATAAAGCTCCTAGATAGCTTAGGATAGCTTTCCCAGCCATGATTTGCATTTTAAAGGAAGTTTAAGACAGGACTTCTAAGAGGTTTAGCGCAGAAACCTCTGGAATCCCTTGTCTTTGGAGGCTGCAAGGGAGTGGAATTTGCATCTGGTTGGAATCATCTAAATAAGACCCTGGTAGAGTCTGAGTGATGAGGAAGATGACTTTGCAAGGTTCAGCTGTGGTTTGGTAGTTGTCCTGAGAATCAACTGCTATAAAATCACTGGCTATTATGCAAAACACATTGAGGCTGAGGCAGTGACAAGGGTTTATGAGAAAACTTAGGTAGACTTGCTCAATGCAGATGAAAACAACAACGATTTTTCTATCTGGTTTACATTAATGATAAATGCTTATTATAGAAAATTTGGGATACACAGAAAAGGAAAAAGGAAAACATAAAAAATCACTTGTGTCTTGTCACCCAGAGGTTACCTCTAATTAACACTTGCATATGTGCATATCATACGTTGAATTCAAATTCGTTTTATATTGTGCTTTTTTTTCATTGAACCGCATATTGTGAGCAGCTTCCCCTGTCATTAAATATTTTTTGATTTATAATAACCTGAAATTGCCTGCTTCTTCAGACTGAGCTACTAGTAGCAAAGAAATGAAATCGGTACCTTCCAGAAGAAAGTTATTGCCTCTACTACCCACACCTGTCTCTCTTTTGTGCCCATGACTATTTTTCCTGACAAGCAATGCCAAATGGCGTCAAGTCTCAGCTCAACGACGTGATTTTTTTTTTTTAATCTATGGACATAATTGCACTTTATAAATAAGTACAAACTTTCACACATGTTTCAAGCTGGTTCTCTCCATGAATGTTGCATCAGTAATAAAGTGAATGGAATTCACATTTTTGCTTAGTTGACTCAACATTTATTATTTGAGCAGTGGCTACTTCTAAGACAAGAAGTCACTTGGTAAGGAAGGAGGACTATGTTAATCTGAATCTGGCTTCCCAAAGCTCTGGCCACATTACTCCAGATTTGCTAACAAATCAAATATAAAATTTTTGACTGAAGTAAACGCCAGCATAAGGAATATGCTACTTTCTGATGAGGTTAAAGAGGTCCCCAGTGATTTTTTTCAACCATTTTTTTTTTTAAGATTCTTTATTCATTTGAGAGAGAAAGCGCACACAAGCAGGGGGAGGTTCAGAGGGAGAGGGAGAAGCAGACTCCCCGCTGAGCAGGGACCCCCCCCCCCACGTGGGCCTCGATCCCAGGACCCTGGGATCATGACCTGAGCCGAAGGCAGACACTTAACCGACTGAGCCACCCAGGGACCCCTCAACCATTCTTAATGAGAGAATGGAATCTTAAAAAGAAAAACACGAAACTACATTCATCCAAAGTGGAAAATCTACATACAAACTGGGCATTTGTGCAAAAAAATTTTTAAGCTGCTATATGTAATTAAAACCCCACTGGCCATTTTATTTTTAACCCATAACATATCCTGAATTCCTTGTGTTCGTTATTTGTTCCTGTAAGATGCATTTTATTCATTTAAGAGAACGACTTGCTCAAATTATGAACTGACAAGCCATATCAATTCTAGTTTGTGTGATTTTCAGAAGAAAGTCCCATGCCTCTTCTATAAATCAGTGTGTGTCTGGAACAGCTTCCAGAACTTTATTCAGGAGTGCATGTGAAGCCATTTTTACACTTGTCCTTCACATTGTCAGCACCACTATTCAGTAGTGGCTGAAAGTCCTCTGGCCTATTTGTGTAGTGGCAATAGCTAATAAAATTAGTATCTAAAAATAATGTGTCTAAAATTCATGCCTATCCACAGAAGCAGGAAATGAGAGGAGTCTTAGAAAAAGACAAAAGAAGCAAATAACCATTCTTTAAAAGCACAAGGAATAGGGAGAGGGCAAAGGAAATATTTCTGGTTTTTTGGATGAGAATAATGACAGCTCTTGAAAATCAATCTTCTTTAATAAACCATGTGAAATTCAGGCAAACGGGCTGGGTACCAGCCTGACCTCCCCACCCGATGTGAGAGACCCTCCTAATAACTAACATTTAAGTAATATGGCTGTATCCTGTAGTGAAGGGTACTGAAGATACTGGCAAAATTCCACAGGCTACCATCACAAAAAATGGTTTATGGAATCAGGTCATGCCATTTATTGCCTAGGGGATATTGAACCAGATGTTTAAGTTTTCTGTGCCTCAGTCTCTTCCTCTGCAAATGGAGATAACAATGGTACTTACCTCATACTTGTTAGGATGATTAAGTTAAAATGCATATGTTTAACTGGAACATGTTAAATGCCCAATGAATGGTAGGCCAGTGTGACTGATATTATTAAGTTATTATCATGAGCTGGTTAAAAAGAGCATGGAAGCAGAGAATAGCAAGCTGAAGGACAAGGCAAATTTGTGGCACTGTCTTGACAAGCTCCTACCACCCTGGAATTTTCCGCTAGGTATTTAGCTTTGGTCATAGTTCTCTCTAGAGGTCAGCAGTCCATCACGGAATGACTTACAAGGATTCAGAGAAGAGACTCAGAAAGGGCAGAGAGGTGGAGAAGGAAGCATAGTGGAGGACTGGGGCCGAGAGAGGAGCACCCACAAGACCCCCCCCTTCTAGTCGGGGAGGGCCGCCTCCCAAGGATGGCAGTCAGCTCCCCTGTCCCACGGAGGGCACACGAGGAAGCAGGGCTTTCAGCACGGAGCAGAAGGCAAACACTCAGTAAACCTGGGGATGCTGATGTGAAGGACCACTGAACATTAAAATCACTATTGGGTGTTTTAAAAACAGACTTGAACTCCCTCTTCTTCTCAGTGAGGACTTTCCTGAGTTTCGTATGTGGATATGCACCTTGCCCAAGCTTTCTATCCCTCTTTTCTGCTTTATTTTTCTTCTTAGCAATTAGCACACCATAACATACTCTATTACTAGATTATCATGTTCATTGCATATCTCTCCAGGAGACGCAAACTCACGAGAGAGAGCAGGCTGTTTTATTTTTGTGGTTGTTATTATTCACTGCTGTCTCTCCAGGGCCTAGCACAGTGCTTAACAAATATAGCAAGTGTTCAATAAGTATTTGTTGGATGAGAAGAGAAAGGACAAATTTCACTTATCTTAAGGTGTTTGTAGCGTATGAACAGATGACCTCAGGAGGCATGGCTGAAGATTCTGTGATTGTCTGATTATGCATAAGAAAGTGCCATTAAGAACTTGATTTTAATGAAACAAGACGAAACCAGAGAGGGAGACAAACCATAAGAGACTCTTAATCTCAGGAAACAAACTGAGGGTTGCTGGAGTGGTGGGGGTGGGAGGGATGGGGTGGCTGGGTGATGGACATTGGGGAAGGTATGTGCTATGGTGAGCGCTGTGAATTGTGTAAGACTGATGAATCACAGATCTGTGCCCCTGAAACAAATAATATATTATATGTTAATAAAAAAAAGAAAAAAAAAAGAACTTGATTTTAGGGACACCCGGGTGGCTCAGTCATTTTGTTAAGTGTCTGCCTTCAGCTCAGGTCATGTTCCCAGGGTCCTGGGATCAAGTCCTGCATCAGTCTCCTTGCTCAGTGGGGAGCCTGCTTCTCACTCTGCCTTCTGCTGCCCCTGCTCATGCTCTCTCTCTGACAAATAAATAAATAAAATCTTTAAAAAAAAAAAAAAAGAGGAACTTGATTTTAAAATTTCTAGATCTTTGGGATGTCTGGCTGGCTCAGTTGGTAGAGCATGTGGCTCTTGATCTTGGGGTTGTGGGTTCAAGCCCATGGTGGGAGTAGAGATTAAAATTCTAGATCCTTTTCAACTGTTGAGACAATAAACACATGACATTAGAATCCTATGCGTGATATGTAAGCTTGCGTGACTTCCTTCAGCCAGAACTGGGCACTGGAAAATCTTCTCAAATTATGAAATTTAACACTTGTTAGTCGAAGAGAGGATAGGGGTGGAGGAAAAAACTCCAGAAGGCAAAAGTCCAAAACAGGAGTGGCTAGTAATAGCCACCACATAATGAGCATCTACTATATTTCAAGGACTTTACAGCTTTTTTATAAAATCCTTCCAAGATAGATACTATTACACCTATCTTCCAGACGGGAAGATCAGGGCCGCGTCCTTGCAATTAAATGGGGATGGGGCTTTGAATCTTTTTTTGTCTTAATTCAAATTTACACTTTCTCCAAAATTTCAGATTGCCTTTGGATACAGGCTTCAACCTGTTCCCTCCAGAACCGTGCCGGAGATCTGTTATTTTGAAGAGATGGCAAGTTAACACTCACCGGTCTCTGCCTTATAACTGAAACGTTTGCAACCCCCGCTCTGAGCAGGTGTGCTGAGTTGCAGTTACCCTGTGATGTTTGTGCCCAAGCTGAAGATCCCTATCAACGAGTAAAATATGAATGTGAGCAGAAGCAGTGATGGCCTTCTTCTTCTTCCTCTTTTTTAAACAAACCAGCGTTTCTGCCTCAGAGTGAATGTTGTGCCCTTTGCAGGGGTCCCCTGGGAGTTTAATGCACTTGACCCAAAGACCCGGCTCTGACATCATGTCTCAAGCTCCTCTTCTGGATTTGCTCTGAGCCCGAGGCACATTCTTTTACCTTTCTTCAAATGATAGCAAATCTTTGTCCTTTCCGGGTGGATGTGATTTTGGGAGACAGCCCTTTGGAGCTTCATCCAGTGAATAAGGTGGGTCAACAAGCCAGGTTATATTTGGAGTTCAGAACATGTTGTGAACAGAGTGTGGTGATTCTGGTTTTCTTCTGTGGTTTATTAAACCGGGTCAGAAGGATATTTATTGTAAGAAGGCTCTCAAAGTGCTTTGACGAATGCCTGCAGCATAGGAAGAGTGCCCCAGCTACTGAGCGACCGCTTTGGAGGGTGATGGTCATCTGACCACATGAGCTCTGTTCCGACAGCTGAAGAAAGAAAAGCACCATTAACTTTGGAGCCAGAGCTTGAATGACACCCTTGGCTGCTGTCACCCTCTGCAAGGGGAGCCTGCATTGTTATGAATGATGGCTCTATAGTAAAAAGAACCTGGATGTCAGTGTTTGCTAGAGTCACGCAGTTAGACCGAGCAAACAAACGCTGGTAAAAAGAGCAGTTGAGAATTCAGAGAACCTCCTGCTCACTAAAACCAGAGGCAGCTTGCTACCTTAAAACAGTCGGAGGGAAGATAGACGATGAGAAGAGTAGAGGGGGAAATGACGGTTCTGGCAATAAGAGGGAAGCGAGGAGATGTTTGAAATGATATTCTTATCTGCGGAGGGTGGCTATTGTTACAAGGTTAAAAAGCGTCAGGAAGAAATTGTGCAGTTGATGTCTAAGCCTGGGGCATTTCTAAGATATCTTCATATTTAGAATTTTAAAGGGCGTTTTACATGAATGTATTTTGCACCGATGTATTGTACATCAGAATTCAGCTCTTTCTCTTACAAAGGCTAACATTTTACATGAAATTTCATTGTCATGAAATCTCTCAATCAGAAGGAATGTGTGTTTTGGCTTAATACAGTTATCACATGGTGGGGAGCTGGGTAAGAATAATTACAGTATGACTAATGGCCTGGGTTTCGAAGCATTTAGACAAGGTTTTAGTACATATTTTCCATCTTCAGAACCCACTGCAGTATTTTATCTTACTAGGTGGCATATCACAGATGAGGGTCTGTGTAAACATTAAAAGCTACCCACTAAATCTAAATCATTTCAGTTACTAAGTTACTAGTAAGAAGAAGGGGGGAGGCATCTTACAGACCCAGGGGAGAAATAATTTAGTAAATGACTGATATCGCAAGGTTCCCAAGATTTTACTGTTCATTACGAATACCATTGTCTTAATTAAGAGTTCCCTTTGGAAGAAATGGCAAAGCGCCTTTGCAATGGGCAAGAATACCACTTATGCATGAATCCAGGGTGCACAGATGGTTGTCTTGTTATTTACATAAAAATCCTCAGTAAAAGAGGTCCTTGTTCAGACTGTGAAAGAGAAAAAAAACCGTGCGTCTGCCCTAGCAGAGGGCATTTCAAACAAAGGTGTTTTGAGAAAGCAAACCTTGGCCTTGCGTTTGGATTGCGTTTGCCTGGGAATCTCAGAGGAGGGGCACCAGGAAGAGAGAAAATGGACTGGTGGCCTCGGGGGGGGGGGGGGCCTCTGGCTGCCCCTCCCCATCCACAGTGGCCCAGCTCTCGCCCTGCTGGGAGACATGGCCTGAAGAACCAGGACAGCCGGATGGGGTAAATCTTTGTTCTGCTTTTCATAGGCCATAGAGTTTCATTCAACCAGCTGAGGTCTCCTTGGCTTGTAAACCATATTTTAAAATGTTTACCACATTGAGCTATTGCAAGGCTTAGATGAGAGAACCAATCTATCATTCAGCAAATGGTTCTTGCGTGACAGACTAGTCAATGCCTGAGAGACACCAGTGAGCAAGGCCAGGCCCTGGGCCTCGAGGGCCTTGGAACCGGGCTTCACGAGGCTGTTTGGTGGGGGTTCTCGCAGTGTCAACATGCTGGTGTGGGAGTTCATGGGAGGCCGGTTCCCAGAATGTGGCTTATAACAAGTGTCAGTTCCCTATTAGGAACCCCATAACCATAGCTTCCTTCCTGCCAGCCACTTTGAATTCCCCAGGATTTACCCCACCTTGGTCCCAAGGCCGGACTCTGTGGCCTCAGAAAGATAGCCCCCACCACCCCCGTCCCTGAGAAGTTTGGGTGTGTGTGTGTGTGTCTGTGAGCGTGTGGTGTGTACGTGTATTTTAAGTCATTTGCTTCCGCCCCTCAACACGACCCCTGTCTATTAACAGAGTTGGGGGCAAAAGCGAGACAAAGAGAGAGAGAGAGAGAGATTGGGAGAAAATCAAAAAGAGATTTCCAGAAAAGGAAGAAAGTTAGATCGCTGTCCCCAACCCACTCCCACCCCCGGCAAGAAACCCACCCCCCTGGATTAAACTGTACGTGGAGGTTAGAGGTGTGGAAGAGGCGACAAGAGCAGGAGGAAGCCCAGAGTCTACATGAGAACACCAGAAACGACAATCACGCTCACAGACGAGCCAGTCCCCCAGAAGAGGGGGGATCAGCCAGGGCGCCACGAGGCAAAAGGGAGTCTCGCAGCCGGACATGGCAATGCCCTTCCCAGCACCACCCAGGATGCACTGGGAGTGCTTGGACCTCCGGACACACCCCACCTGGCCTGACCCGGGGAGTACGTGTGTCCTTTTGTGGAGAGAAGGCACAAGGCCTGAGGCCTCCTGCCTGTGGCACCTCTTACTTTGTGTCTCAAAGGGCAGAGTCTTGCCTCACCTTCTACGGCAGGTGGAGGAGGCTGTCCACGCAGGCCGCTGTCCCTGCCCGGCTCCCCCCACTGTCTCAAGGGACGCTGGGACACAGAAAGCCCTTGGGTCTCTTGCTGGAAGTATGACTGATTTTGAACCCTTTGCCGCCCCCAATTTTTTAGAAAGTTGGATGAGAAAACCCTTCTAGCCCCCATTTTCTGAAGAAAATCTGCAATTGATCTTCATCTCTGCATTAAATTGGCACCTCACAGCAGCATGAGGGATAATGCACCCCTTATGAACTACCACCTTCCGGCACACCCTCCCCTCCTCGCACCCCAGGATTGCTTTCAGTCAGCTCTTTTGGGAGATGAAATCAGCCTACCCTGAGAAACAGGGCAAGGAACCACGGCACAAAACCTGTCACTGGCTGGGTTTGGTGTAAGGACAGTGTTTCATTTCAGCCGTGATGTCCTCTCTGTGAGAATCCAGGGGCCAAGTTCCTCTCTAGGCTCAGTATCCTGAGCAATAATACAGTTATTTTACTGAGGAGGGCATTCAATTTTTGATGCGGCAGAATCTGTCGTTTCATATGGTGGCTTAAAAGCTTAGAACCACATGGCACATCTTTTCTGTATCAACCTCACCTCTGGTTTTAGAATTTCTGTCTTCATTTCTCTCAGTGTCATCATTTCATTTCGTATTTTTAATTGGTTTGATCTTGCTAAGATGTGTGTATCTTTACAAGCCGCCCTAAATCTTTCGATGAACAAAACCAGAGGTAAATAACTAAAGGATCCACAAGCCCTGTGTTCGGCTTACCTAATAATAAATATCATGATGGTGAACTGACAGAGAATTTTCTAGAAGGAGATAACGTACTCATCAGAGAGCTCAAGGATCTCACCTGGCAGATTGAGTTCTTCCTGCACATTAACAAATTGACACTTGGGTTCCTGTAAGAGTCTGTTACGGGCTTTGAGAGTGTGTGTCCATCCCTGAGAACACTCACCTGGCACTGTTTATGCCCACCACTGCTGCACTCTAGACAATAGCCATCCTCCTCCACTCCCTTGAACATGGCAAACTCTTTCCTATCTCAGGGAATTTGCACATACAGGTGCCTCTGCTTGGAAGGTCCTTCCTCCTGCCCTCTCCAGGTCTCTCTCTATTAGAACAATAGCCATAGCAGAACATTAGAATGATCGGATGGGGTGGGAGGGTATATTAATACCCGGGCTTCCACGCAGACAAATTAAACTAGAATCTCTAGGGGTGGAGCCTAGCTACTGGCATTTTTTTTTTTTTTTAAGCTTCCCAGATGCTTCTAATTTTCAGCTAGGGCTGAGAATCACGGCTGCAGTCTCAGCTTAAATGTTAGCTTCTTAAAGAGGCCCTCCTGGACCACCTCTAGGACATAGATATTGTCTTGCTGCCTAGCTCAGCTTCTTCTGTGGTTCCTTTGTAATAATAACTACAATTTGTAATTAGTGCATTTATTTGAATGGTTTTGTTTGCCCCCCCCCCCCCCACCCAACTAGGACATAGGTGCTGTGAGGACAGGAAATCTATCTGTCTTGGTCTTTGTGCTTTTCTTCAGCACACAGTGTCAGGCGCATAACAGGATTCTGAGTCTACAATGATGAGGATGGCCGTCAAATGATGCTACTGGTCTGTGGGGCCTTCTGGAAGCCAGTGAGTCTCCCTGGAACATTATGAGAGAATCCATGTCAAGGCTCAGGGGCTATTTTAACTGGTAAAATGGTTGCACACACTTCCCTTTCACCTGACTCCCGTGTCCCAGGATTTTTCAAGGGAAATCTGTAAATAAGTCCTGATTCGGAGCATCTCCTTTATGTGCATGTCCTTCTCCTTCACTTGATTTTAACCATTCTGAGTGAGAGATTCCATCTTGTTCCTCTTTGTGTTCCCAACCTGCTCCAGCACCCCGCTGAATCTTACACATAGTAGGGGCTCTGTAGATATTTGTTCACTTGAATGGAGTTTACTTTATCTCTATGGCACATAGATATTTTGATGAAGATTTCACCCTGGGCAGTAGCATTTGTGATTATTCGGGGACTGGAGGCATGGGGGATTGTGAGCATGTCATGAAAGTTAAATTTGTTGGTCTAGGCAGCTTCACCATAACTTAGGTGCAGATGGTCTCTACACCTGGATTGCATAGAAGAAAAAAAAAAGTAAATTTGTGTTTGGAGGCAAATAATGAAACTGTGAGGAGTCTGAAAACAACTCAGTCACCTACCTCATAATACAGGTGCTGGTCCAAAAAAGGGTGATTTCATGGTGGGGCAGCTTGAGCTGAGTCAGTTCTTTCTAAATTATTATTTGATAGTTATTAATAAATCAAAGAAAAAAAACCAGCCACCTACTGTTTTCCCTCCACGGTTAGTATGTTCACCAAGCTGACCTGTATGTTCTAAGGTGCTTTTTTTCCTAAGCTTAAATTAACTAAGACCAGTTAGAGGAGTGGACATCTTTTTCTTCCTCCTTCCTTCCTTCCTTCCTTCCTTCCTTCCTTCCTTCCTTCCTTCCTTCCTTTCTTTCTTTCTTTCTTTCTTTCTTCTTCCTTCCTTCTTTCCTTTCTTCTGCTTTATTTCACTTCCTGAAGGAATCATCTGGGTTTTTCACTCTTCCTTTCCTCAGTTTTACACAGGTGATTTGTTGGTGGGAAAAGGAGAGGCCCCTTATCTGGGGAAGTTTTCATATTGTCATGGAGAGAAATGCACGTGCACACACACACACACACACACGGGTAAACCCACGCAAATGAAATCCCCTCTTCAGAGAAGCCAGCTACAGGAAATTGACTTATGCACAGGAACTTGCTAATCTCTATCGTCACATTCCGATTGTTCCTGCCACCTCAGTCACTGCACACACTAAACCCAACCATCTTGGGTTGGATTCTCTACCAGCTAGACTCTTACATTTTTGGTTCTTCCAATGTGAATCAGTTATATTCTTGGGGAGGAAGGAATCTTTGATCCCAGAAGGAAATCCTAAGAGTGAAAGGGCTTGGGTAGCTTTTGCTTTTACTTACCTGCATTGAACAGATTAACTTCCGGAGTCAGTCATTTTGGTGTCAAGAAATTTCTTCGGCATTCTACAACAGGTAAGACTTTCGCTTCTTTAAAAATATTTCCTCAGTGTCAGAAGAAATCTCTCCAGTTTATGTAGCTTTTACTCTAAGCTAAACACAGTAATGATCTTGCTCTACCTGTTGTAAAGTATGAAACCATTTTATGGGGGAAAGGGGAGTTGCTCTGGTATCCAACTCCCCCTGCCATCCTGACAAGATGCATATAGCTTTTGAAACGTTACAAGTTATAATAGTTGGCTTTTGTTTTTTCAGATATTCTCCTAGAGAATTCAAATGCTTGTGATTGACTATGACCAAGTTTAAATATTTGAGTAGTTTAAATATCACTCTGTGTTTAATAAGTAAATATAAAGATCCTCTCAGTTGTACAAATGAATTTTTTTTTAAGATTTATTTATTTATTTATTTGTCAGAGAGAGAGAGAGGGAGAACATAACAGGAGGAGCGGCAGGCAGAGGGAGAAGCAGACTCCCTGTTGAGCAGGAAGCCCGATGCGGGGCTTGATCCCAGGACCCTGGGATCATGACCTGAGCCAAAGGCAGACGCTTAATGACTGAGCCACGCAGGCATTCCTGTACAAATAAGAGTTTTAAAATTTTCTAAATCATAAAAGAAACCAACCAAAATTCTGATGATAAGGATTTGGATCTGGAATTCCTAGCTTGTTTGTTGCACCTATTGCCAATGCTCAAGTCCTCTTTCCACAAGTGGCATGTGATGCATAAGTATTTATTTTTAAATTGTATTAAATTAAATTTAGTTTCTGAGGTGGTTTGATTTGGAGACATGCTGTGAGGTACCATCAATAGCCTGGGTTGTAGCTAAACTAAATAAAGCTAGGGAAATCGCTAGGTTTAGGTGTTTCCCTAAGTTAAAGCTGCCATTGAAATATTCCAGCAAGCAATAAATAGTCAATAAAGATTTAATGATTCCAAGCTGGTGCTCTGGAGGATATAAGAGAAATGTAAGGAATCCTCTACCCGAAGGAATTTATAATCTAGTAGTCGTGGTGAGAAGTAAAATTCAGAAAGCAGTGCAAGATGGGAATTATGTGAATACTGGGGTGACATGGGCCGTAAGTTACAGGAGTTCCAAGAAGGGGGTTTGAGGGTAAGCTAAAGTGGGTCTGGAAGTCATGGCCTTGGAAAGACATGAGATTTGAGTAGGTAGAGAAGGGGGAGGTTAATTCGCACAGGACCACTGTGTGGGCAAAGACACAAAGCTGAGACTGATGAGATGAGCAGTCCAGTGGAGGAGACTGGCCCCCCCAAAAGAAGAAAGTTTGTTTTATACATTGTCAGGAAATAAGCTTGGAAAATTTGGGTATAGACAGGTTACAGAGGACCCTGAGAGGCTGCTGAGCAGAACAGATGCCTTTCAATAGTGTTGTGGTCTTCTTAGGCCATCAGGCTCCTCTTCTCAGCTCTCCCAGCTCTCCCAGAATTCCAAGTGACAGGGAGCCCAGAGATCCCAGCCTCTTCGTGTTGGCGCTACTTTATGCATCTGTGCCTGAGGGTTCCTGTAAGACTCCATTTCTGGTTCTTACATGTCCATCATCCAGTATTAAAGTGGTCTTCCTCTTGAGAAGATGAGCTGGTTGACCGAGTGAGCCTCTAGTCTTCAAAAACCAGTCTGAACATTCCATGAAATCTGTATTGCTTCCTTTGCATATCTGAATGAGATGTTATGTATTAGCTGGTACTTTTCCCCCAGTGATTCAGAGCGCTTTTTTTTTTTCTGAACTGTGAAAAATTTGTATCCATCTAATAACAAAAATACAGTATGGTGAACAAGAACCCAGACTTTGGAGCCAGATTACCTTGTGATGAATCTGGTGCTTTTGCTTCCGAGCTGCGGGAACCTCGGACACACATTCTTCAATCCTCAGATTAAAAACAAGTGTCTGTAAAGTAGCTCTAATAACTGAAAATACCTATGTCAGAGAGTTGTTGTAAGGATAAAGATGAGATAAAAATATGTAAAGCCTTTAGCCTAGTGCCTGGCATAAAATAAACTGTCAAGAAATATAGCTATTATGGTTGTTATTAAGAATTGGTGGGGACATGAGAATGAAGATGATATGGTCCCTGGCTGGGAACAAGGTATCTGTAAATAAGTCTTTTAATGCCAGTGTTCCTTTCAAAGGAAAAATGGGGCTAATGGGTGAAGGCTGGACATTAATATTTTTTGAGCACCAAGTACGGAATAGGCACAGGGTTAGCTATTTTATAGCAATAATATATATATGAAAAAAGGAAAACAAGATTAGAAACGGACTTTTTAAGTCTTTCCATGTCTGATTGTCCGACTCAGGAGACAAGGCTTTGAGTGACTGCTGTGTTATTTGTGGGCATCTGGGGCTGATGTTGCTCTCTGAATGCTTTGGGTGGAATATTAGAGGTGTTTTTGGCATTAGAGGCAGAGGTAAAGGGTGACTCTTCTTCCCTGGCCAGCTTAAATTAAATTATTTAATTTTTATGGTATTTCAATTTTAGTGCCAGCAAGGCATAACCAAAAATCTATTTCTATTCACTGACCATGTTGACAAGGAACGCCCAAAGTGCCGATCTGGTTTCTAGATGCTTGGGTCTCGGGTGACCCAAGACTGAAAAGTGTCCTGCTTTCCTGTTCCACTCTCCAGACAAGAGATTTTGGGGGGGATAGTAAGCACCCTTTTGAAAAAATGCAAATATGGCCAATATGTTCATTATACAGGGATTTCTCAAATATGTGTGCAGATTACCTTGGTCAAATAGTAAAATTGTTTCCCTTCTAGGGTCCCACTAATAACAGAAGGGAGGAAAGTTTGGGGCTTTGTGTATGCAAAGGGGTGAGGCCAAGTCAGCCTAGGGTGCCAAAGTGGGGCATGACAGGAGTCAGCAGGACAGTAGTGGGTGCTGGGGAGGGGCAGTGCAAGAAGGAGGGTGTCCAAGATGGAGAGGGTGAATGGAGGCAGGTGGACAAGCGCCAGAAACAAAGTCTCCTCCTATGTGGCTCTTTAGTCATTTGATTCAAGCAGCTGCTTGAAGCCCCAAGCAACCTCTTGGTGCTTTGTGTAAAAAGATGTACTGTTCCCTGGATGTGGACAGTTGTTCAGAGGTGATTTGATTTGTTTGGTTCTGACCCGGAATCGTAATTCCTAAAGTTGGCTGGACATCAAAACCACTTGGGGAATTTTTAAAAACTAGCACTTATCACGTATCATATCGCAGCTCTGGGATTTGGTGCAGGAAATTGTGTGATAATCAGTACAAACCCTTTCCCCCAGGTGACTTCGAGGCAGCTGTTCTGTGGGTGAGCATTTGAGAGCCATTAATCTAGAACTCTTCTAACGGGGCACCAAGCACCAAGATGGTAAGTTGAGTAAGTGCTGAAATGAGGCCAAACGATCTTCTCTTTGTTGTGATTAATATTGACATACAAAAGTATTTTCCTTTGTTTTGAATTTATTTCTTAGGAGAATTCCTGGGGGTGGGATGACTGAGTTAAAGGTGTGGACACGTTTAGAGTTTTCATCAACCATATTTACATTTTAACAATCAAGTGGCAAGGCACCACTCTAAAAATTCTGTTATATACACAAAGAGGCTGTTCATTATTACTCAGGGAAAGCCCAAAGAAAGGAATTTGCTTTCAAGGGAGAAAGTGCCAAATCACCTTTCCATTTCTCTTTTCCAGTAAAACAGAATACTAATGAATTATTTTTGGAAGAAAATGTCAAAACATTACAGAACACTCAAGTGCTTCTTAGAGCCTAAGTTGGAGCCTTCTTATCTCTACGCTTGGTTTCTTGTAATACTGTAGTCAGCAGTGACCTCTTCCCCATTTCGTAGAAAAGAAAACCGGAGAGTGGTTAAGTAACAGGCAGTATGGTTCTAATCACATTTGCCATGAGAACTGCGCATAGTCAGTCACTTAGTCATTGTTTGAGTTAATAAATAATGGAGTAGTTGTTACAGGTGATCCTGTGAAAAAACACTAGTGGGTAAGTGCATGAAGAGAGTATTGTCCAAATTGGGGGAGGGTGGGTAGAATTAATTGACCCAGATAGACCTCCTGCTCTATTTTTTTTTTTGCATTATGCTTTATTCATTATATATTTGCATAACTTGCTAATCTAAAAGCATGGTTATTGTTTGTGGCAACAGATGGGAATAGGGTGAATTTTCAATGGCTTCAGTAAAAAAAAAAAAAAAAAAAAAGACATGCTCTTGCAAAATATTCGAGTGAGTTATTTGTAGTGGTGTGTGGGAGCCTGCCTGTGCTTGTTTGCAAGAGCCGATTGTAATATTTCCAGAAATTTCGCAATTTTGTTAAACACGGCCGCCATTAAAAATTAAATTCTATAACTTACAGTTCAAGAAATTATGTTAAAAATAAATGTAGTAAATACTCAAAACACATTAATTCCTAGTTATTTACTACATTTTGCTATTATCGATGCTCTTGAACTTACTTCAAGTCATCTGTTTGATAGGAACACTGTGTAATAGTGTGCTACTGAGCATCTCTTTTCAACTCTGCATTCAGGTTCGTAGCTTGAACCTGGACGTGGTAGGAGTGTTTACTCCACGGAAATTGGCAAACACCATAAATCAGGCTCCCCGCACTATTTTTGAGGAGAGGTGGTTAAACATCTTATCAATATACCATCAAGGAACAATATAAAATACAAATATGGCAACTTGGCAATATGTGTTAAGAACCATTAAAATGCTCATACATTTTGATCCCTTAATTTTATCCCTGGGAATTTATTCTAAATAAATAATTCAAAGTAGGAAAAAATAACATGCAGGAACGTGTTCACTCATAACCTGACTAAGGAATAATGATTCTGGCAACATTAACTCCATGGAGTACTTTGTAGTCATTAAAGGCAATGACTTTATGGTAGCCATGAAAATATATTTGGTATGGTGTTAAATTAGAAAAAACAGGATTAAAATTTTCACTTATATTCTGATCTTATTATGAATGAAGATTAAATGTGAGGGTAAAACAATGCAAGCATTTAGTGGGTTAGCATGGTGAAATAATGGAGTTTTGTTTTTATTTCATTTATTGGAGTAGTGGTGTGTGTGTGTATTTAAAAAAAATATGGAGGGGGCCTGTAAATATGTTATCTTAAGTGGTTTTAGCATTTAACTGGGAAGATTATGAGTTTTGTGGTCCAGATGAGGTTTGCCTTTGACATGCAGATATGACATGCAGATATGTGACTCTCTGGGCTGGGTATTGTAAAGGGAGTTTGGACCCAGGCAATCTGGAATGGTAGATGGTAAGAGGGTTTCTTTCTTTCTTTCTTTTTTCCCCCCAAGATTTATTTATTTATTTATTTACTGAGAGAGAGAGCAAGCGAGCGTGCACACCCATGAGCAGGGAGAGAGGTAGGGTGGGGAGAGGAAGGGGGAGGGGCAGAGAGAGAGGGAGACAAACAGACTCCCTGATGAGCTGGGAGCCCGATGGGGGGCTCAATCTTAGGACTCTGAGATCCTCACCTGAGCCAAACGAAATCAAGAGTCCGAAGCTTAACCGACTGAGCCACCCAGGTGCTCCATAAGGGGGTTTCTTTAGGGCAGCTCAGGAAGGAGGAAGGAGTGACTGACTGGGTACTGAAGACTTGCTAACGTAGACTGCAGAGGCTGAGAAAGAGCCTAGAGAAAATCAACTGGCAAAGCCCAGAGAGAGGAGAAAACATTTCTTTGGAAAAGACAGGGAAATGCTGACCTCAGAGATGAGCAAGATGGATGCGAAAGCAGTTCGATTTAGATCTGAAAACAGTAAGACTCAAACCAGAGTGGAAATGATTCTTCTAAATCATGGGTTCTCAAATTTTAGTGCATTTAAGGGTCATCTGGGTGGATGGGGGTCATGTTAACAAATGCAGCCTTCTATGCTCCACCTCTGGATTCTGATTCAGTTGGTCTGGGGGTCGGCAGGAATATTCATTTTTCACAAGTCTTCTCCCTCCATAAAGTTTTTTGATACAAATGGTCTGCAGATCATACTTTGAGAAACACTGCCAGATTAAAGGTAATAGTTTGGATGGGCCGAGGGAATGTATATCAGTGTGTGTGTGTGTGTGTGTGTGTGTGTGTTGGGTGTGAGGCTGTTACCTTGAGGCTTAGGATCTAAGGGTTTATGATGGAAAAGGGTATGACAGCAGAAAAAGCCCAGAAGGGACAAGTGAGTGTATTGAGTCTGTAGAGACAAACTAAAAACAGGAGGCCGTCCTTATGCCACTCCTTAACTAAATATAGTTTGTACCACCTTTTTTGGTGAAATGCAGTACTTTCTTATATAGAACTGTAGCACTCAAAATAGTAATAACACCAGACATATGCCATAACAACAGCATATCACAAAATAAACATATGAAAGTAAATGATATTCCAGTTAACAGGAGCCATGATACCGAGGTTATCTGCTTCGCCTGGCTTTAGAAGAGCTTTAGTGATTGTAGTAAGCTCTCAAATAGCCTTTCATATCTTGGGTTCTTCCACCTTTATCCTGAAGATGAATCTTTTCCTTTAAAAAAGTTTCACATTCCCTATCATCAGGGTCGCTAGTCTCTAGGGACATGGATGGCGTGATAAATCCAGAATAAATCACAAGCCTTCTTAGCACTAGAGACACTACTCAGGGTCTGTTGGGTGTCTAAGTGTGCACCTCCTGACTATCCTATTCATGAAATACCCACTCAAAAGGGTTTTGCATGGACTGATTGGCTTACACTTCAGAGCAGTGTTTCCTAATCACTTTTTTTTTTTTCCCTCACAAATTCCTTTAAGAATCTGTTGAGAACCAAAAACCTTCTTGAGAAAAAGCACAGGAATGCAGGAACATGCACATTTGCCATACAATTTTAGGGGACTTCACGGCCTTCTGTAAACCCATCCATGACTTCCCACTAGTCCAGAGTCCTCATATGAAGAACTCCTGCCTCAGAGGTTGTCAATACAAAAAAGTTCTAATTATTGCTGATGCTGGATTTAGCTGCCAGAGAAATGCTGACTTTCCAGGTGATGGTTAAGATGAGGACAAGATGGCAGACGTACGTATAGTTTTATTGTACTGGATCCTTAACTCGAGTAAACGTGTGGACGTGTGGGGCGGAGTTGGTTTTCAGAGTATCTGTGACTCATGCTCTAAGTCCTTAATTCTGAATTCTCTTATGTGAAGCCAGAGTTAGTTCCCATTTGGGAAACCAATCTCTCAAAATTCTACTTTAATGTCTGATTTATGGTCATGTGGTTCCTTTTGGAAATGTAGGCAGGCTGCAAATACTGATATGGCCAACTCCAGAGTATAGAGACAGGTGTGGAGCCCACTGTCGCCCCCGGTGAACACTGGATACTTGGTCAGGCTGCTTTTCTGTTATGTGCTTGGTTCTGAGTGTAAAACATAGGTTTTCCTATCTGAAGCTGAGCATCTGTTTAGGCTGTAATAACTCTGGAGATAAGTCCTTTTCCTGTGTAGCCTTAAACCACAGAAGCTCAGTTGGTCATCTTTTGTGAGTGGGTACCTGACTTGCAATTTGGAGAACTGGGTGTTTTTGGTAGGAATGTCATATCTTTGTTAATCTCCTATCTGCTTGGACTGTGATAGGGGCTCAGGCAGGGTCTGGAGATTTACCCGAAACCCAACTGTTTAAATTAGCCAATTCTGTTAAAAGTGATAAGACCATGTTATTGTGTCATGTTAGTAGAGTGGGCAGATACAGGATGGGGAGTGGAAATGCACCCCATCTTCAACCCTCCAGAGAAAAAATATGGGCAATTGGCTAAATGAATTGTGAAATATGAGTCAGGCTTCTCTTGGTCTTGCATAGCGTAAGGGTTATACATTTTTTTTAAAAGATTTTATTTATTTATTTGAGGTTGGGGGAGAGCACAGAGGGAGAGAGGGAGAAGCAGACTCCCCACTGAGCAGGGGTCCCCATGCGGGGCTCCATCCCAGGACCCCGAGATCATGACCTGAGCCAAAAGCAAAGGCTTAACTGACTGAGCCACCCAGGCACCCCAGGATTATACATCTTTTTCGAGGTAGAAAAAGAAAGTCTATGACAAATATATTCAAATAATTAGTGCAGCTCAACTTCTACAACCAGTTTAAGTATTGTACGCCTATGACTGGGTCTCCTGCCAATTTCAATTCAGTGCATTCAATGTAGTTAATTTATTTTAATTTAATACATTCAATGCATTTAACTAATAATACTGCATCATAGAATACTCAGTTACAGCCCACAAAACAGAAATAGTCCGTGTACACCAAAGGCCAATAGCAAACGCTCCACCCCTCTTGTCTCGTGGACATTGCCCTCCCTGCTGCGTCCTTACGCCTGGCCA